TTGGCAGTGGTTCTCAGTTCAAACCATACAACTGTTCATCGTCATCTTCAACAACTTGGAAAAGTTCCTAAACTTGGAAAATGGGTGCCTCATGAATTGTCTGAAAACAACCTCAAATCCCGAGTTGACATCTGCTCTTCTCTCCATTCTCACCAACTTGTTTCAACTTTTTTGGATAGACTTGTGACTGGGGATGAAAAATGGATCTTTTATCGAAATGTTAAGCGTCGTAGACAGTGGCTTGGTAAAGGGGAAGGACCCCAGCCACAGCCGAGAAGGGAACTTCATGGGCAAAAGGTTCTTCTTTCAATCTGGTGGGATCGCCAAGGAATAATCCACTTTGAATTCTTACCACATAATGCAACAATCAATGCTCAAATATACTGTCAGCAATTAGAGCGTTTGAACCAAGCTTTGAGGAAAAAAAGACCTGCTCTAGTGAATCGAAAAAGGGTGATGTTTCATCAGGACAATGCGCGACCCCACAGGGCAAGAATCACGTCACAAAAGATCGAAGAATTTGGTTAGGAGAAAATTCCTCATCCACCTTATTCTCCCGATCTTGCTCCTTCAGACTACCATTTGTTTCGTAGTTTACTAGTTCATTTGGAAGAAACAGCTTTTGTAACACAGGAAGAGGTTAAAACTGACATTTGTGAGTTCTTCGAATCAAAGCGAAAAGAATTTTACAGTAATGGCATTAGTAAGCTTGTTAATAGATGGAAGGAAGTCATAGATAATCAGGGAAAATACATTGTTGATTGAATCTGTAATTAAATGTAACATTTCGTCACTTGTTTTCTTTATTTAAAATTCAGACAGAACTTATAGGATGACCTATATATATATATATATATATATATATATATATATATATATATATATATATATATATATATATGATATCCCTAAATTTTGGACACATTGGCAAAAATGCATATTTTTAAGAAATTATATTTTGAGTTATATTTTATTGAATTGTAATATTAACAAATAACATCTACAATATGATTTCCATAATTTATGATGCAAAGATTGTTGCGCTTTGTCTGATTCATGAGGACTCGATGCAATAACTCCACATTGTCTGCGTTTAATGAAGTGTGTTGCATCTGCAATTTTCATTGGGTACACCTTCTCTTTTAGCAAACCCCAGATAAAGAAATCAATTCTTTCTTCTTTCGACTAAGTACGAAACGCGTCGGATAAGATCATTTTTCCGCTTACAGATTTATTCACACACGCGCATGCACGCACGCACACACACACACACACACACACACACACACACACACACACACACACACACACACACACACATCTTATGAAATGGACAAAGCCTCTAAATGTATCTAAAGGTAAATGGTATAGCGCGTTAGGCTATATGACAGTTCCGTGTAGGATATAGGTTCGATTCCTCTCAGATTTCTCGGACATTCAAGCCGGCAAATGTTGTTAATACTGTTTATTATAAACATAACTTTTCCTTAAATATTTATATCTATAAAAGTAACGTATAAGCAATATATATATATATATATATATATATATATATATATATATATATATATATATGGAGAGACAGAGACAGAGAGACAGAGAGAGATTTTATACGAATAAAAAAAATATATATATATATATATATATATATATATATATATATATAATCGACCATGGTGAGATTCGAACCCGTGGTTCATCTATATTCAAGTATGTTCATATCTATCTATCTATCTATCTATTCCTATTAATTTCTTTCTATGTCTGTCTGTCTGTCTGTCTTTCTTTCTTTCTTTCTTTCTTATCCTATGATTTTCTTTCTTTCTTTTTTCTTTCTTTGTATTATTTATCTATCTTAGCCTGTTAATATCTATCTATCTATTTATCTATCTATCTCATCCAATTAATTTCTTTCTATTTCTCTCTCTCTCTCTCTCTCATATATATATATATATATATATATATATATATATATATATATATATATATATATATATATATATATATTATATTGCACGTGCGACTGTGTGTTTGGAAGACGGCGTCCGTAAATGTTAGAACACGACTGCCCTCTCCGCCAACAAAATGTCCTTTGAAGTCTTCTCACTAAAATAACCAAACTTATATTTTATGCCACTTGGTTGATTTTCTGATGCGAAAACTCGGCCACAGTTGCTCTGACCATCAATTACTTAGGCTAAGTTCGTAGAAACCGGAAGATTGAATGCACTCGCTTGCCTTTCGTTTTTATAGTCTCTGTTCGGTCAGATTTGCAAGGCTTTATAGAAAATCGCTTGGTGTTTAACCTGTTCAGTAGACTCTTAGTAGAGTCTACTGAATAGGAAGGCTAAAAGACAAAGAAAAGTAAATCAGATAAATATGCATCATTTAATTCTTTATAAAATTTATTATCTTATCTTCTTCAAAAAGATTTACAATCCTAAATCATCAACAAGTCCTTCTACTCATATCCTGATTTTGAATGGACCGACTTTGGTATTTATTTTCGAATAGAGCGCCTCGAATTTGGATAATTGTAATCGAATTAGCCTGGTTGACCTGCTTGACCCTCACAGGGTGCTCCATAAACGTGACATTTTGCCAAAGTAAATCAACTTTAGTAAATATTTAAGAGTTGCTTTATTGTGGATTAATAGTTATCCGTAAGTCTTGTCGACTATTAATACTGAGGAGTGGGTTCGTTTCTCACTAGTTTGCCGATATACAACCTAAGCTAAACTATTAAGTAATATTATGGCGTCTCAGCATGGGCTAAGAGTTAGAATGCCTGTTTGGTTGAACATTAATACTGAAAAGTGAGTTCGATCCTGTATAAGCATCACATATCTGTAGCTTTATAGCAAAACTACGCTCTCAACTATCGAGTCCATCCTATCAGGCAAGTCTCTCGGGGTAGTTGTTAACGACCAGTCCTCCAAGGCCCAAGGGATCAACACAGGCGTTCTCCAAGGCTCGTTTCTCGGCCCAACGTTCTTTCTATTAATAAGATAAGGCTAGTGTTCCTCATGGCTCTATCTTGGGTCCTACACTGTTTCTTTCTGATCATCATCAATGACCTTTCTGACGTCATCAGTTCTTAAGTAGGCATCTACGCAAATGACACTGCCATTTACACCTGTCCAGTAGTAAATCCGGTGTTGCTGACAGTTAATCTGACCTTTAATCCGTGGTTGACTGGGACAGGAAATGGCTTGTGAATTTCAATGCATCCAAAACTGCAGCCATTTACTCAGCATAAACTTCTCTGCCTCCTATCAGCATGGTTGATGCTCAACTCTATGAGAGCGTCTCTCTACGCTTTCTTGGTCATATGTTTTCCATTGACCTGAGGTGGGAAAACTACATTGAATCAATTGCTGCATCTACTGCAAGGAAATTTGGTTCCCTGTGTCGCGCCATCCTTCACATCCACAAATCTACCATTCATCCATGCATGGAATACTGTTTACATATATGGTCTGGAGCCCGCGCTGTTCATCTCGAGATTCTTGACAAAAAAAGACGGATATGCAGTGTGATCTGTCCTGTCTTGGGGTCTCGACTCCAGTCATTTTCTCACCGACGTAATGTGGCTTCCCTCTGTCTAGTCTATAAATATTTTCATGGCATCTGCTCTGACGAGCTATTTTCACTGGTGCCCCAACTGCATGAATTTAAGCGTGCCACTAGGTTGGCATCTCGGTCCCACCCTTTTACTGCCGAAACAAATGTGACCGCCTCTTCTACTCCAACAGCTTCTTCTCTTGCACTTCCCGACAGTGGAACTCCCTTCCTCTTACTTGCTATCCTGATAATCTTCAAAAATTTAAATGTAAAGACAATCGACATCTCCTGTTGCCCTAAGTCCCCATTCTTCTTTTTACCCTCCTTTTTTTTATCCTTTCCTCATTCTCACCATCTATACCAAGATGTTTTTTCCCTTACACTCTCTGTAGCCCCTTGCGTACTAGTGGCACTTCTGCCTTGCTTGGGAAATGCTTAAAAAAGACAACATAAGACATCATTTTCAGAGGATGGCCAGAGTTAGTAAAAAGTAAAAAATGCTACCAAAGATTATTCTTCGAGATCATTTTCAAAACATTAAAATAAAAACAAACGAAAATATCAAACAACCAAATGCATTACATAAAAAGTACACGCAGATCCTTTTGTAAATTTCTATATTGTCTTTGTTCTAAAATCTCCATGTGGGGAAAACTGTTTGTTCATATTCAATGCCTCGAAAACCAAACTAATAACATTCCATCATCACCTATCACCGATCAGGCCCGGAATTTTTGCCTATCGCGATGAACGAGTGTCCTTTCGAGTAGGCCCATGACTTGAGCGCCTTTTGGGACCTAAGATCAACTTCAAGTGGAATTCGTACATATGATCAATCGCTAGAAAAAATTGTCGTTTCCCTGTAAGTTTCGATGGCGGTCTCTGTTTCAGTAAGTCAATGTGAGGCTACACACTGCCAGGTTGACTAAGGAGAACCTTAAACAGATGGGCGGTGTTAAGATTCTTCCACATCCACCGTTCAGTCCCGATGCTGCTCTTAGTGACTATAGCCTATTCCGCTCAATGACACACTTCCTACGCGACGAGCGATTCAACATTTTTGATGAAGTGAAGGAAGCTTGTTTACAGTTTTTGATTCAAAGCCAGTGAACTTGTATCTGGGACAGATTCAGATGCTGACTGATCGCTGACAGAAGATCATCGAGAATGATGAACCTTATTTTTAAGAATAAATGTTAGTATTGCTCCATAAAATTTTGTCGTTTTCTTGCCAGTGAGTCAGGAATTTCTGATCAACGTCATGTTTTACGTGCGCGTTTCAAACGAAGTTGACAAGGTGTAAATTTAAGATTTTGATTGGGAAATCATGAGATTCATTTTTTGTTTGCTTATCAGTGCTTGGATTAGAGAGCACACTGTGATTGCAATGTTCAATTGTCATTTGGAAATTGAAGAGACAGATCACTTGACATCGATAGCTGATCTTTAAACAAGAACAGTAATATCTAAAGTGAATGGCAGTCCCATATGAACAAGGTGTCGAGACAGGTTACAGTAACAGAAAGCAACAAGGGAGTTGCAAAAGAAAAGAGTGCAATGAAGAGGAATAAATACCAAATTAAGATGGTTAATATATATGAATAGAGAAATTTAAATTTGCAGTCAACAAAAGGCACAACATTGATTTAGACTCACTTAGAAAGCGGAAAGACGACAAATCTTGATCTCTGTCTGGTGAAATATCCGAGGAATACTGCATTTCCACACAGCCGTGCCATCAAGGGAGAAGTGCAAACAAATGGCCGGTGTTGAGATTCTTCCACATCCACCGTTTAGTCCCGATGTTGCTCTTAGTGACTATAGCCTATTCCGCTCAATGGCGTACTTCCTACGCGACAAGCGATTCAACATTTTTGATGAAGTGAAGGAAGCTTGTTTACAGTTTTTGATTAAAAGCCAGCGAATTGGTATCTGGGACAGATTCAGGTGCTGACTGATCGCTGACAGAAGATCATCGAGAATGATGAACCTTATTTTGAAGAATAAATATTGGTCTTGCTCCATAAAATTTTTGTTGTTTTCTTTCCGCTTCCAAAGTGAGTCAGGACTTCCTGGACAACTTTTTATTACTATTAACATTGTTGTATCGGAAAGGCACGGCGGAATAATGGATAGCGTTTCCGATTGAGGAAACGGAGAGCGGAGTTCGAATTTCAGTCGAATCCATTACGTTCACTTACGTGGAAAGGTATGAATCCTTTTCTTCTCCCCCAGCTATAAGTAAATAGCAGGACAGACCGGGTTCTATAGCCTGTAATAAAAACTGGTGTAACTTAGACGGAAATAACAACCTACCGCGGGAAAAAAAAAACTGCCTCGTCAGTCATGTATCGAAAGATACATGGTTGTGTAAGCGTGTATCAAGCATGGCACTTAACTAACTGATTGTTGGAAACTAAAAGGTAATTTATGCTTAACATCAGGAAAAGACAGTTGAAATTTCTACAGAAGGATGCTGAGGATACCATGGACCGAACATGTGAGCAACGATGAGGTTTTAGAGAAAATGGAAACAAAAAGGAATCTTATACTTAACATCAGGAAGAGACAGTTGAAATTTCTACAGAAGGATGCTGAGGATACCATGGACCGAACATGTGAGCAACGATGAGGTTTTAGAGAAAATGGAAACAAAAAGGAATCTTATACTTAACATCAGGAAGAGACAGTTGAAATTTCTACAGAAGGATGCTGAGGATACCATGGACCGAACATGTGAGCAACGACGAGGTTTTAGAGAAAATGGAAACAAAAAGGAATCTTATACTTAACATCAGGAAGAGACAGTTGAAATTTCTACAGAAGGATGCTGAGGATACCATGGACCGAATATGTGAGCAACGATGAGGGTTTTAGAGAAAATTGAAACAAAAAGGAAACGTATACTTCACACCAGGAAAAGACAGTTGAAATTTCTACAGAAGGGTGTTGAGGATAGCACAGAATGAACATGTGAGCAACGATGAGGAAAGAAGTTTTGGAAAATCTAAAACTCGCAGGATAGATTGATGGCAAAAGTGGGGTAGAGGTGTAGAGCGCATAACGTACTTAATGATTTTTATTAAATGGATGACAGAACAGGGTTTAGGAGAAATGACGAAAAGACATTTATTCAGAGCTACAAAGACAGGAAATTGTGGAGAGCCATGATGGCCTACACCCTGACGGGACACGGCACACAAAGTAGAATATGTTCTCGCTCTTTAGATTAATAACATATTTTCCTTTCTTTCTATTCTTTTCGTGTATTATTATTATTATTATTATTATTATTATTATTATTATTATTATTATTATTTCTTTGGGTTTCTGTTGTATACACATTTCCTTCCGGGTCCCAACCAGAGATCTAATGTTGCAAAAAAGGCTTCATGACATCTATCACTGATCATTTTTTTGTAAAAAAAAAAAAAAAATAGATTACACACATTTTACAGAGATAAAGGTCTTCGTAATGTGTGATTTTATTATTTCCACAGGGCAAGGGCTTCCAGGAACCACTTCAATGAGTCTGTCGGAATATTTTCTAATCAATCTAAGGGCTTCAACCCAGAAATTGAATTTTTAATGGCTTCATGTACTACATGTTTTAGATATCCACTTCAAGACACTTGTATTTTGATAGTCTTCGGGTATTTTCGAAAACACATTACGATCTGTAGGGAATGAATTTTCAATAAGAAAGCACCTTCTAGGTGATGTTGATACCAGTTTCTTTCAGTTTCCTAATTGTAAAAGTGGCATATTTTCCAGTGGGGATATTGGCCCAATCTATCATGTCGAGTTTAATATTCCGTATGTGTGCTAACATTGTGCAACTTTATACACGATGGTCAATTGTTTCTGGATAACACAATTTTCAGTCTGTTTGATTGGTAATTTCTAGATAGCAAGCATTATTATTATTTTACTTATTATTATTATTATTATTTCACTGTTTTTCTCGCTCAGTCCTGGTTATTTTCATTGTGTATTATAACTAAACTTCTCAGACACCATTTTGCCTTAGCCATCTTTCACTTGATAACTTTTTTTTATAATTTGTCGAACTCAGAATCATTCTTCTAATTTTCTCTTTCTCTAAGCTTTTCAATATTTTCCTTTCTTTCTCTTCCTGTTTAAGAATTCATTTTTTTAATTTTCTCCTCTTTCTATTTGGCACACCCCTGGCGAAGTAAGTGTCTCTACAGATGGTATTATTGTTATGCGTGCTTTTTCCACCACATTAGTCACGTTAGAAAACGTTTTTTACAATCTGACTTTTTCAAAATTGTCATGGGGATTGCTTTTTTTCTTTCTTTTTTTTTTTCTAAGATATTTTGCAAGTCTCTTGTGGACTACACCAAGCGCGTCTTCTACACTATTCTAACTTGTTATATTCTACAAAAATTATGTTTGATGGCACGCATCTTTCAAGATTCTCATTCTTTTATTGCTATTGTGGGGATTCTTTTTTTATCGACACCTTATTTAAAACCTGGATATTGTCACTGATAATTGAATCGCAACATATATCCCCAAATCTTCAATAACCACCCTAATTTTATTGTAGACATGAGCTCTGCTCTGGGACGTACTTCATTATTATTATTATTATTATTATTATTATTATTATTTTCTTTGATTTCTGGCGTTTACACATTTCTTTCCGGGTCCCGCCCAGGGACCTAAGGATCATGGCACTCTCCACTGACAAAAAAAAAAAAAAAATTACATAGATAAAGCCCTTCGTAAGGTGTGGGCTGTACTTGTCAGAACAATTTTTTGTATCTCTTTGAGGCATGGACTTCCAGGAATCCCTTCAATTAGTCTACTGCAATCTTTTCCAACCAGTACTAGGGCTCCAACTACAACAGGGATTGTTGATGTTCAATATGCCACATTTTCGAGATTTCTTTTTCAAGGTCCTTGTATTTTGACAGCTTTTTGAATATCTTGAAGATACATTGCAGTCAGCAGGGACTGCCATATCAATAAGGAGGCATCGTTTTTGTTTGTTTGTGGTCTTTAATAACAATATCTGGGCGGTTGGTTTTGATTGTTCTGTCAGTGTGTATTGTGTAGTCCCATAGAATTGTAACAGGTCCTATCTCCGTAACCGGGTCTGGGTGGTGTTCATACCATTTTTTTTCAATTTCCTTCCCGTAGAAGTTGCAGATTTTCCAGTGCAGACATTGGCCCACTCTGTCACGCCGGGTTTTATATTCAGTGGGTGCCAATATCGTGCAACCTGATACAAGATGATCAATCGTTTCTGGATATTTATCACAGAATCTGCATTTTGGGCTGACACAATATTTTAGTATATGTGCTTGATAATTCCTAGTAAGCAAGCATTGGTCCTGTGCAGCAGGGATAAAACCTTCAGTTTCCGCTTCCAACCCCGCACTACGTAGCCACTGATGGGTACGGGTTTTGTGTACGTCAGCTTGTTTGGTACGGGCAGAGTATTGGCCATGAAGCGGTTTATCTTGCCATCACTTCTGTATCTGGTCGGTTGCATTCGTCTTTGCTGTCTTTTTTAAGTATTTTGCAGTTTCAGCCGGTGTATTGTGCTGTACTTGCATCTCTACGCCCATTTGAATTTGTTGGCTTCTTTTATTATTATTATTATTATTATTATTATTATTATTATTATTATTTTAATACTCGTTAAGTTTTAATCTTTTTACACCAAAGGGAAATTTTGGGGATGCGTAATGAGGAAAGAAGGCTTTGCGAACTTAATACTTACAGGACGTATAGAAATCGAGCGAAGTATTTTTCATTCCTTGTTGCACGACGTTTTACTGCAGATGTGATTTGACCTAGTAAGGGAACTCAATCCCTATTATGTACGAGTGGATGCGCGAGTAGTGTAATGGATAGCGGCTTTGAATGAGAAATCAGAGTGCTGAGTTTGAATTCCAGTCGTTCTCATTACATTTACTTTTTTTTTAATCATTTCTACCCAAGCAAGACTGACCAATACCACTAAACTCAACGAGTTCCTGGGAGTGAAAGAAAATGAGAGGAGAAAGGACAACAAAAGAAAGGTTTCAGGAAGAAATAAAATGACGATTGGCGTTTAAAATTTTCAAGATTTTAAGTAGCAGAGAAGCAAGAAACCGGAAGAGATTTCCACAGGTGAGAAGTGCGAGAGAAGAAACTATTAGAATAGAACTTGCGGTTACATCTAGCTAGTTCAACAGTAAAACGGTTAGACCTATTTATCAATCGTGTCGTACGCTTAAATTCATATAGTCGCAGCACCCTGCTCGTCCGAACGAATGCCATGAAAATATTTATAGAAAAGACAGAGGGCAACCAAGTCATGTGACGTCGGTGAGAAAATGAATGAAGTCGAGATGCCAGGTCAAGATCGATAATATTACAGATGCTTCTTTGGTTATTGTTAAGAATCACGAGATATATCATCAGATCTCCAGACCAGGTATGGCATCAATATTCAATGCACGAACGAATACTAGATTTATAAATGTACAAGATAGATTGTTACGAGAAAAGATTGTCTGGCACACAGCAGTGAACAAACTTTCCTAGATGTAGACCTATCAGTAGATTCAATATAATTCCTCCTCTTCATGTCAGTGATAAAACGTGAGTACAAGAAGGCGCATAGAGTTGCTCTCCTGGAGGTTAGCATCAGCCATGCTGGCAGAAAAGATTTTCTGTGGTGATTAAATGATAGCAGTTTTGTTTTCGAAGCGTTAAGATTTACAAGACATCCGTTGCCCCAGTTAACCACTTATTGGTGGTCACTTACGCAAATATTCTTGAGAAAGGGATGAATTTATATTTTCTTCCCCGAGGTATGGGTTAAATAATCTTTGCTATCTCCAAAATAATTGTTGATAAAATAATCAATCGCAAAAAAAATGAATTGCTCTTAAAATCCCAAATATGTTTCGGATTTAAATAAGCGGCAAAAGGTTGATAAACCGTAAAAACAAATAAATCAATAAATTATGCGTGGGACGAATCGATTTTGGAAAATCTTGATTTAATTTCAGGTTTTCAATTAGCGGCCGATCTCTCCAGATTTAAGTCCCATTGAGAATTTATTGATAATATTATTGGCATTATTAAACTATGTGTAGCCATACTCAATATGCACAACATTTAACCATTTCAGTCTTTCGTTCCTGAATAATTTTAACCCTTCTACCTGACCTCCTGAGTCAAAATTCGCAAATAATTGGTATGTAATGTTTCATGATAGATATAAAAAAAAATTTACCCATCGTTTAACCAACCGGTAACTCGGCATGAAGTCATTTTTCTCTATCACTGTTCATCCGGTGGCTTGGCATTACGTCATTTTTCTCTACCACCGGTAAAGCTGTGGTCAGGGCTCAAAGGTTTAAGGAAAGCCATGAAAAGCGTCTCAATTGATATACCGCGCTGTTATACCGGTGGTGGGGGGGGGGCGGTGAAGAAGGAACTACACGTTTTTGGAATTTCATTTTAAATATGATAAAGTTTGGAAAGGAACGATCGGCTTCGAGGATATTTCTTCTTATTTTTATTTTTTATTCCCTCACTCCTAATCCCTTTATCTTAAAATAGAACATATGAAAAGCAGTTGGATGTTGATTGGTTTGGTTTGATTTACGGTATATCAACCTCAGTTGGTTATTTAATGCCGACAAAATTTTCGTTGCTATTAATATTTTTTTCCAAAAATGTATTGCTGGTAATATTTTTTTCAAAAAAGCGTAGCCGGTAATCATTTTTTTTTTCAAAAAACTAGTGTTGGTAATAATTTTTTTTCAAAATTTATTGCTGGTAATATTTTTTTCAAAAAACCTTAGCCAGTAATCATTTCCAAAAAACTAGTGTTGGTAATAATTTTTTTCAAAAATTTATTGCTGGTAATATTTTTCTTCAAAAAGCATAGCCGGTAATCATTTTTTTCCAAAATACTAGTGTTGATTATAATTTTTTTTCAAAAATTTATTGCTGGTAATATTTTTCAAAAAGCATAGCCGGTAATCATATATATATATATATATATATATATATATATATATATATATATATATATATATATATATATATATATATATATTTAAATGTATTTCCTTAAAAACTTATTTTACACTTTCATAGTGTTTTGATCCCAGTTTGGGGTTAACTATTTGCCCATAGCTGGGACCCTGACAGATGCTACCACCACGGATCAGAGTGGACCTGGGAACACTAGCAATTAAGAGGTGGTTCCACGCTTCTGAAAAACTCCTGATCAGTGGCCTTACTGTTGGATGTAGTTCATCGTCTTACCTAGGATGTGGATCTAGTTTATCATCATCCCCAGGACACGGATGTAGTTTATCGTCATAACCAGGACCGGGGTTAACTATTTGCCCATAGCTAGGACCCAAACAGGTCCAACCAGCCAGGGTCAGGGTGGACCTGGAAACACCAGCAATTAAGAGGTGGTTCCACGCTCCTCAAAATCTCCTGATCAGAGGCATTGCTGTCGGATGTAGTTTATCGTCTTACTCAGGACGCGGATGTAGTTTATCGTCTTACCCAGGATGTTTGGGTGTTGAAAAACGTTCATAACAGTTAACGTTTGTTACTTTACGTGAGCATTTTCTAAGCAAAAATGAAAACTGTAATGGAAGGTCCTTACAATGACATCTCTCCTCCACAAAGCGCTACGCTTGCTTTGCAATGGTTTTGTTTGCTTAACGGTATCTCTAATCCTTACGGGTCATTTAATACCGAAATTTTAATTGTTGTGAGCTTTGGAAATTTTTTTCAAAAATGTATTGTTGGTAATTTTTTTTTTTTTTTACTATGAAAATGTATTACTGTTATTTTTCCTAATGTATTTTTACATTTTCATGTTTTGACCCCTGTTTTGGTGTTCACTATTCGCCCATAGCTGGGACCCTAACAGGTACTACCACTCCACCGGATCATAGTGGACCTGGGAAGAAAAGCAATTAAGAGGTGGTTACATGCTCCTTAAATCTCCTGATCAGATGGCTTGCTGTTGGGTGTAGCTTATTGTCAAAAACAGGATGAGATCGATTGTCAATATCCTAACAATTGATGTTTAAAAATGTAATCATCAACAAATCAGCCAGATTTATACACCGGAAATACAGGGTGCGATGGATAAATTGTCGTCTAAATGACGCAAAAATGAAAATAACACTGGCATCTCATTTTAACAGGGTGCGAGGGACAAATTGTCGTCTAAATGACGCAAAAATGAAATTGACACTGGCATTTCATTTTAACAGATATATTTACCAAAATTACACAAAAAATATTTTGAAGAACTAAAGACTAAATTTAATTTATTCAATAAAATCGCCATTGGCTTTAATCACGTCCTCCAGAATCTCCTGCAACTCTTCGCGATGGTCTCCTTGTTTAAACTGGTGAATTCTGCCGGAATCCTTGCTTTCAGTTCATCTTTGGTGTTACAAAGAATTTTGTTGGTCTCTCGCTCATCTGCGCACTACACAAAATAATCAAGGGGGTTGCAGTTTAGGGTGTAAGGTGTCAGATGTAAAGGGTGATGTAGTCGCACAAATGTTTTGACACCTCGTTGCGTTACTGCTCTTGATCCAGGGCAGAATAACCTCCTGAAGGCACTTGACGTAGGCCTCCGTTTTGAGTCTGAAGCCCTCATCAAGAAAAATCGGGAGATCAGAATGAGTTTTCCTAGCCGCTGTAATTTCATAATCACCATTAGACTCATCCAACTCTTTCTGAATCCTCTGCACTCTTCTCAGATTGGCACACAAATATTCCGAAATATTCGTATTGGAGCTTTCAGCGCGAATGCCAAGTAGTACATCACGAGTGAATTGCGTCATGGTGCTCTTTTTCTCAAAGACAGTACTCAACTTACCCTACTACACTGTGCTGTCGACAAAATAGGAAACAAACGACTCGCATGCGCGAAATTAAAAATATAAAATGGCTCACAATTTAGCTGTATGCTAAGAGAAAATGGAAATATGAGGATTAAACACAAGAAAATAAAAATGAAAGAACGAATGTTTTAGTGAGGTAATTAAAGTATCCGAAGGTAAAAAAAAAAAAAATGTTGCTAGGTAGCATTGAGATATTTGGGAAGGGTATTATAATAATCCAGAACAATTAAATTTTCTAGGGCACATACTGCGAAAAGACGGCTTGGAAAATTTGATACTCACAGGACAGATTGAAGGCAAGAGGAAAAGAAGACATAACTAACCGAGCAAGATTGTAGAGAATTTAGGGAGAGCAATATAGCCAACATCCTGAAGGGACACGGCCCCTAGAAGAAAGGGGGAAACTTTTAAGGAGCGTATAAATTTCAATTTAAAATTAATCAGTATCTAGTTTAGTATTATTTTCTTTAAATATTTTCTTAGCTAGAATTAAATATGTTAACATGTTTCCTATTTGAATGTTTCCGTGATTTATTCGCGGATATATTTTTTAAAATTTTCTCTTAACCGCAGCCGTTTGTGTAACCAGCGTCGCCCTGGTAACAACTTGCCCATAGATTTTTTATTTGTGTTTGGAATAATTGATTGATTGATATTTTCAAATTTTAAAAATGTTTTTTTTTTTTAGATAATAATGATTTAGTGATACAGGTCTTACTAATTAACCCATAGCTGGAGGTAGAGGAGGGGGAATCATACTTTTCCAATGGGTATTTGCGCGTTAGGGAATATAACGAAAATAACGGAAATTAGAACTCGGCTCCCCGATTAAAAACTCCGAGCCACCCGAACAAGCACGCTTACAGCACCAGTTTTTTAAAAGCAGTTACTTATCTAGCGCTTCGGTGATTTTACGGGAACTAGTGTTTCAACTTGATATGGCCGTAAGCTCTGTTTGGAAAATGTTGATGTAATGTAGCCAAACATGAATACAAACACACACACACCCTGGGCAAGTAGGAGGCTGGTATGAATTCAAAGTTTTCATTCTGCTAGATTGATTGCTATAGAGCTAGTCTACTTTACTAATGTTATCAAGTTTTTAATTCAGGGTTCTCCTTCTAGACCATTTAGCCATAGCTGGGATTGATAATTTTCCATCTTCTACACTTTTCAGCCATTGCTTGGGGAGAGGGATAGACGAATTCATACTTTTCCCAACGGTATTTGTAAGTTAGTGAATGTAATGAATTCGACTGGAATTCGAACTCGGCTCTCCGATTCCTTAGTCCGAGCCGCTAACTGAGCCTCGAACGAAATGTCAACACTTAAATACAAAAATTCAGCGTCCCACTGATTTTCACATATTCCACTTTTACATGCATTGTTGGATATTTCATAACAGGTATTTATCATTCAAATCTTGTAAATCCTCCCCGATATTCTCTGATTTTTTTGTTCCTTATCCCTCTCTTTTCTCTTGACGGCAACTAATTTCTTTACTTCTGTCTGTCATATTTCAAGTCTTTGCCTTTTCTAGTTTTTCTCTTTTTCTTTCTTCTTTCTATTTGATACCAAACTCCTTTTTGGTCTTCCTTTCGTCTTCTAAATCTTCATTTTTCTCTTCTTCTTTCGAACGTTATCTTCTTATTTCCCCACTTCCTGTGAAACCAGTTTTCTTTCTATCTTACTTCCTGTTGTCACTGTCTTTTCTCAAAGTTTGAAATTTTCTCCTACTCTTCTCTATTTTCTTCTATTCTTTCCGCCATTTTTGATTTCTCTATTTTTAAACGCCTAACAGTCTTCTCTCACTTTTTCATTCCGAAAACCGTTTACTTCCATCAAGGGAGGTTACTTAGTTGAACTCATCCGATCATCTTTGTTCCTGGCCGATTTACCTTTCATGTGTCGTCTTAGTGCTTACTTGACTCAAGCCCCCATTATGGAACTATACGAGAATGAAACATGGCTTTTATCCCATCTTAATATCAACTAAGCCTCATTCTTGTTCTTGTGTTTGTTATGTATTTTTTTCGTTTTTGACATTTGACTTATTTTTATACCTTTCTTTCATGGAGAGTTCTTATTCTCAAACTCTGTATACTTTATTCTTTTTTTTATCAAATGATGTCTTTATTTCACTGATTTCTCTCTTAAATGATTCTGTTCTTATTACCACTCTCTAATTTTTTGTTTCTCTCGGCATCTTCTATTCTGTCTTTATAGAAACGGAGGCAGACCAGAAAAAGCCAGATACCTGTCTTTCTCGTTTCATTACAGTCTATCTAACCCTACATCGTCATCGTTAAAGCAGCAAATAGCAAACTAACTCAACAATCTCAAGTTTGCAAGGCAAACATTAACTGTTGCCTTATTTGATCTATGCACCGTGTGCCTTCAGGACGTACGCTCTCCGCATTTTCCTGGCCTTTTAATATATTATTTTGTTATCTCCTCTAAAACTTGTTCCGCTGTCTATTTATTCACGCTCTCTAGATATTTTATGCATTGTTTTCCTCTGCCACTCTTGCCCTCAATTTTTCCTGTATGTATCAAATTTTCCAAGCCATCTCTCCTCATTATATGCCCTAGGAATTTCAACTGCTGATGCTATGTATAAGTGTCCGTATTGTTTTCAATTTCTCTAAAACTTCCTCGTTGCTCACATATTCGGTCCATGGTATCCTCAGCATCCTTCTGTAGAAATTTCAACTGTTTCTTCCTGATGTTAAGTATAATTTTCCTTTTTGTTTCCATTTTCTCTAAAACCTCGTCGTTGCTCACATGTTCGGTCCATGGTATCCTCAGCATCCTTCTGTAGAAATTTCAACTGTCTCTTCCTGATGTTAAGTATAAGTTTCCTTTTTGTTTCCATTTTCTCTAAAACCTCGTCGTTGCTCACATATTCGATCCATGGTATCCTCAGCATCCTTCTGTAGAAATTTCAACTGTCTCTTCCTGATGTTAAATATAAGTTTCCTTTTTGTTTCCATTTTCTCTAAAACTTCCTCATTGCTCAGATGTCCGGTCCATGGTATTCTCAGCATGCTTCTGTTGAACAACATTTCTCTTCTTCATCTGTCAGGAGATTGTCCAGCATTTATTACCATATAGGAGAACTGATATTGCAAAACAATTCAGTACTATTTTCTTTGTTTTTAACAAAATTTCCTCTTTTTTAATACATTACTTATCTTTTGGAAAGCATGTTTCATTATCCTAATGCATTTTCCATTTTTTTCTAAAACTTCCTGCTTGCTCATATGTTCGGTCTACGGTATTCTCAGTATCTTTCTGTAGAACCATATTTCTGTTGTTTCAAGTCTCTTTGTTGGTGGAGAGATTGTTCAGCATTTACTGCCATATAGGAAGACTGATATTACGTTGCAGTTCAAGAGTCTATTCTTTGTTTATAATGAAACTTACGTGTTTGTAAGAATTCTGGGATTGTAAAGGAAATATATGTCGCAGATTACTTCCACAATGAAGAGAACAAATCATTGTAAGTTCAGACTCGAATATCATGGGCAGAAAGAAATGCCGATATCTCGATTCGCATGAACAATGTCACAAATCACAATGCACGTAACCAGTCAGAAAAATAAGTCACTCCTCGACGACCGCGGTAGCCAAAATACCCGATTCGAGAACACCAACTACTTTTATCCGGCGAGCAATTTTTCCATTCGGCAACAACTGGGAGAGGACGCACAATATATTTACAAATACTTTCATGGCAATTGCTCCTAGGAGCTGCATTCGCTGGTTCCCAGACTTCATGAATTCAAGCGCCCTACGAGGCTGGCATCCCACTCTCACCCTTTCACTGTCGAAACTACTAAATGTAGCCGTCTCTTCCACTCCAATAGCTTCATATCTCGCATCTCTCGCCCGTGGAACTCCCTTCCCTATTCCAGTTTCCCTGAGGGCTATAATCTCCAAATGTTCAAATGTAATGTCAATCGACATCTCCAGTTGCCTTGATCTATCCACTATCCTTTTCCTCATCCTTTCCTCTATCATTCCTATCTGATCTTGCTGCAAATCTTCTGTAACATCTTGCGTCCTAGTGGCTTCCCGCCTTGCTTGGGGTGAAACGCTTAAAAAAAAAAAATTAAAAATACTTATATGACGACTCCTGCGACTAACTTGTTTCTCATTTAAATATCCCGTCTTCAGCATATAATGCAGAATACGTGCCCTTTTTCGCCACATTTTCCGTCGTAGGATACACTCGACACGATGTCTCTTGGTTTGACGAGGTAATTCACCTTTTTCTTCGCTATAAGTCTGTCTAGCTTTTTTCTTTTCTTTTTTTAATCGGTATAACCCCATGCAAGGTAGTAAAGCCATAAATAGACAAGGAGTTATAGAGTGTGGAAGAATTGGGAACAGAAACATTAATAACGAGTAGGAAGTGTAAAAAGTAATCAGGAGGACAGTAGATAACGATTGACATTGCATTTACATTTTTGCAGATTAAAGTTGGTTGGAAAGCATGGAGCCGGAAATGAGTTCTACAAGGGATAAGTGCAAGAAAAATAAAATGTTAGCATAAAGGTTACGGCTACATCTATCAACGGTAAGTTGATGAGATCTCGCAGACAATCTAGGACTGCGATTAAACTCACAAGTCTATTTACCATAGCAAAGAGCTCAAACGAACAATTACCATGAAGTATTTATAGAAAAGGTAAAGAGGAGGAACTTTACGGCGATGGGAAAGTGACTGAAGCCGAGCTACCAGATCAGGACCAATAATATTGCTGATTCTTTGGATTTTATCAAGGAGCTCAATGTAGAAAACAGTGGAACCTGTAGCAGCAATATTCTAAGCATGGACGAATGGTATTTTGGAAGACAGCTTTCGCTATACCAATGCGCCCTCGGGTTTTAATGACGCGATTTCTTTTTCCTATGAAACGCTTCCTTACGAATGATAAAAGAAAATTTGGATTTCGTTTAGCTTAATGCGCTGCTTATATAATTGTGATGATTTAATTACTTTTTTAACTCGTTAATTTTAGTTATGATTAGTAGACGAAAAATGTATCATCCTCTGCTCTTCTTATCTTTTTCCCTTCCATTCTTACGAAATCATTTACTCAACTTACAAAAAATGACGAATAACTTTTTCTTACGATATCCTTCGTTTGATGCTTTGCTCTTATGTTTTTTTTTGTCTTTTTTCTTTTTACTTTTCTCCACTTTCCATTTTGCCCACCTCCATTCCATCTCTTGAGTTTTTTTCCCTCAGATATTTCGTTCTTCCTCCTTTTTTTCATCCTCCCTTCCTTCTTTATTTTTTCGTTCATTCCTTCCTTCCTTCTTTTTTTCGTTCGTTCGTTCGTTCATTCATTCCTTCCTTTTTTTTCCTTCCTACCTTCCTTCTTCCTTTTCCCCTTTAGTTCGTTCGTTCCTTTCTTTTTTTTCCTTTCCTTCCTTTTTTCCTTCCCCTCCTTTTTCTTTTCCTCATTAGTTCGTTCGTTTCCATTCCTTTCATCCTTTTTTCTTTTCCTTCCTTTTTTCCTTTTCTTTCTTTTTTTCTCATTAGTTCGTTCGTTTCTCCCTTCCTTTCTTGCTTTTTTCTTCCCTTCCTTTTTTCCTTCCCCCTTCCTTCTTTCTTTTCCTGATTAGTTCGTTCGTTCCTCCCTTCCTTTCTTCCTTTTTCTTTCCTTCCTTTTTCCTTCCTTCCTTCTTTTTTTTCCTCATTAGTTCGTTCGTTCCTCCCTTCCTTTCTTCCTTTTTTCTTTCCTTCCTTTTTTCCTACGCCCTTCCTTTGTTCTTTTCCTCATTCGTCCGTTCATTCGTTCCTCCCTTCCTTTCTTCCTTTTTTCTTTCCTTCCTTTTTTCCTTCCCCCTTCCTTCTTTCTTTTTCTCATTAGTTCGTTCGTTCCTCCCTCCCTTTCTTCCTTTTCCTTTCCTTCTTTTTTCCTTCCTCCCTTCCTCATTTCTTTTCCTCATTCTTTCGTTCCTCCCATCATTTCTTCCTTTTTCTTTCCTTCCTTTTTTCCTTCCTACCCTCCTTCTTTTTTTCTTCGTTCGTTCCTTCTTTCCATCGTTCGTTCGTTCCTATTTTTTGCTCCCTTCCTTTCTTTCTTGCTTGTTTTTTTTCCTTCCTTTCTTTCTTTCTTTCTTTCTTTCTTTCTTTCTTTCTTTCTTTCTTCCTTCCTTCCTTCCTTCCTTACACTTTCCTTCTTTGTTTATCATTCGATCACCCCATCTACTTCATGTGATAGGGTTTACAGACATATCACGTTGAAACACCGGCTCTCGTACGATCACCGAAGTTAAGCACCGTTGAGACTGGCCAGTACCTTGATGAGTGACCACTCAGGAATGCCACGTGCTCTAAGCTGTGATCTACGGTAGGCTTTAATGGATAACAGTATGCAATTAGAACTTAAGAGAGCTGAGTTCCTATTTCAGTCGGGTTCGTTTTAATCACGGTCAAATATCCTTCGGAAAGGTATGAATTCACCTTTTCTCCCCGCAGCTGTGAGTTAATTAGTAGGACCTATATAGGTAAATATTCATTATATCTATGAAATTCTTAATCTAAAAATAATTTATGGCTTTAAATAACCAACAAATAGTCGAGAAGACGTAAAAAAACTAATCTATCAATTAATCTAAATAAATTATTGGAATGGTTAAGGATTCCTAATATTAAAAAATATTTTCTGTCTTTAAATCTCTATCTATAAAAGGCAGGATGTGTGTGTGTGTGTGTGTGTGTGTGTGTGTGTGTAACGAATGCACGGCCGCAATTTTCGACGGATTTGCACCAAAATTTACATGCACATGCTCCAAGTTAGCGGGAAGGCCAACACCGACTTTGCATTTCCCAACTCTAATCGATAGTGGAAATAATCGATTTTTTCATGCTTCTACGGCAGTTTTTATGTAGTTTGCGGCCATTTTCTATTGGCCAGAGTGAGAGCCTATAGCTGACTGTCACGAATAGGCAGGAAGATTATATTGGCCAGCGTGAGAGCCAACAGCTGACTGACACGAATGTTAACTAGCAAGCTAGCATGCAAAAAAAATCGATAGCGGCATTCGTCACAAGTGGGAAAAAATTAAATCTGCATGGCACTTTATTCCAATTGGCTCATTCGCTTGCTTAGACTCAACGTTGATTCTGATTCCGCAGAACTTGGTTGGGTGTGAAAAAGTATTTGTTGTTAACATTCTTTTTTCATTCGGTTTTTCCAGTTACGAGTCCTTTTTTAAAGCTGATCGTTTTGTTTTCATTTTGTTTAGTTCTTTTTTCGTAACAGATTTAATGTTTCGTATAGAGTTTAGAAAAAATTCGCAGTGTGAGGTAGGCAAGAAGTAAGGCATGTAGCAACATCAGCACAGCACAGGGCACTCCTTTAAAGGCAAGGAAGGGCAAAAATATTTTTAAGTCAAGTGATAGCGATTGCTGTATGAGTCGTACGATTTTTGAATCAAGCACGGGCAACGCCGGGCCATGCTGCTAGTAACATACAAAAGGTTGATAAGACGTAAAAAAAAAATCTATCCATTTTTCCTATGATATTTGACACTTTTCTCGTACTCTTTCTTTTTCTTTCTTCTCCTTTCATTTTGTGTTTATTATTCCATCTCTTGATATTTCTCATTTGATGTTTCGTACCCGTCTCTTAATTCTTCTTTCTCCCCCCTTTTACATTTTTGTTTATTCTCTTTTCCCACTTCCGCCTGATATTTCATCCTCTTTGTTCTTCTTCTCTCTCCCAATTGTCTATGTTCATTTTCTATCATTCCATCTCCCGATTTCTTTTATGTTATTTTATTCTTTTACGTTCCTTTGTTCTTTACCTATCAGACTTTGCTATTATTCCAACTTCTGATCTCTCTCTGATATTTCACTCTTTAATTCTCTTTTTTTCTTTTCCCTACTATCATTTTTGTCCATAATTTTATATTTTTCTTTCCTTCTTTTTCATTTTTCATTCTTATTTTCTTTCTTTATCTATTTAGTCTCTTTCTTTCACTTTCATTTTTTATCTATCATTTCCTCTCTTAATATTTATCTCTACATATTCCGATCTTTTTAATCTCTTTCTTTCTGTTACTTTCATTTACTTTCATTCTTTATTATTCCTTCTCTTAATATTTATCCCTAGATATTTTGATCTTTTTTAGTCTCTTTCTTTGTTTTTCTTTCACTTTCACTTTCACTTTTCAACTATCATTTCCTCTCTTAATATTTATCCCTAGATATTTCGATCTTTTTTAGTCTCTTTCTTTCTTTTTCTTTCACTTTCACTTTCACTTTTTATCTAGCATTTCCTCTCTTAATATTTATCCGTAGATATTTAGATCTCTTATTCCTTTTTTTTCTTTTTTTTTTGATTTCTTTCTGATATTTCACTTTTTAATTCTCTTTTTTCTTTTCCATACAATCATTTTTATCCATAATTTTATATCTTTCTTTCCTTCTTTTTAATTTTCATTCTTTATTTCTTTCTTTATCTATTTATTCTCTTTCTTTCACCTTCATTCTTTATCTATCATTTCCTTTCTTAATAATTATCCCTACATATTCCGATCTTTTTAATCTCTTTCTTTCTGTTTCTTTCATTCACTTTCATTCTTTATTATTCCTTCTCTTAATATTTATCCCTAGATATTTCGATCTTTTTTAGTCTCTTTCTTTGTTTTTCTTTCACTTTCACTTTCACTTTTCAACTATCATTTCCTCTCTTAATATTTATCCCTAGATATTTCGATCTCTTATTCACTTTTTTCTTTTTCTTTCTTTCACTTTCATTCTTTGCCTATCATTCCCTCTTTTAATATTCATCTTTCGATGTTTCCCTCTTTTTATCTCATACTTTCTTTTTTTTTATTTTTATCTATCGTTCCTTCTCTTGATCTTCTTCCTCTGATAACTCGCTCTTTTATTCTTTTTCGTTCTTTTTCTTCCTTCACTTTTCACGCTTTGTCTAGCATTCCATCACGTGATCTTTTGACATTTCACTATTTTTTCTCGTTCTTTTTTTAATTGTCTTTCTTCCATTTTCCTCTGTTTATCATTTCGTCTATTGATCTTCTTTCACTGATATTTTATTCTTTTATTCTCTTTCTTCCTCTTTATTTGTTCCGTTCCCCCTTTCCTGTCTATTATTACATCTCTTGATCTTTTTACTCTGATATCTCACACTTTTACTTTCTTAAATTCTTTTTCTTTCTTAACCCCTCACTTTCACTTTCACTTTCACTCTGTCGTTCGATCTCTCATTCTTAATCCTCTGCCTTTTTACACTTTTCTATTTTCTTTTCTTTCTCTCTGTGTCTCTTATTATATGTCTTTATCATATTCCTCTTTTTGGGCTCTATTCTTTTCCCTTTTTTTATTTCTCTTTCTTTTCTTTTCCCTCTTTATTTACCATTCCATCTCTTCCTCGTCTTCTTCTTCTTCTTCTTCTTCTTCATCTTCTTCTTCTTCTTCTCCTTCTTCTTCCTAGCTTTCGCCCCTCTTCCTCTGTAGCGTCAACTACTTATAGATTGCATACTGCTACTTGCATTATTCCGATGCATTTGCGGATTTTCGTTGACGTTACTTTACAAAATGGACGTGCACATTCAGCATGCCCCATTTAAGAGTCTATAAAATCCTGCACACTAAGCAAGGCAAGGAGGATTCAAGTGTAATAATATTGCTTTTTTAATAGTATTGTTTTTTTAATAATATTGTTCTTTTTAATAATATTGTTTTTAAAAACTGCCACGATTCATAGAATTACAAGAAAAGAAGTCAGTATTCATTGTTTCGATTTTTATATTTTACATCACATTTTGTATGATTGAAAAAATGATCTGTCTATATTTCTGAGATGAGGTATTATGTACACTATTTACATTATTCGGACTATTGTCCTCATCTTTGTTGCCATATTTATTACAACGTTCCGGGCGTTGTACGCTCCGGCCGCTGTACGCTCCGGCCTTCTACAGGTGGTTGGAATGTCGAACTGAACCCTTTATTTCGCTCACTGGGGTGGTCTGTTCTAGTTCCACGTGCCATGTTTTAATGGATGTCAGTTGTCAGCTTTTTGAATATCTTCAAAGATACATTGCAGTCAGCAGGGACTGCCATATCAATAAGGAGGCACTTATTATTATTATTATTTTATTATTATTATTATTATTATTAGGCTCTGACGATTTTCACATTGAGCTCTGAGTTTATTTTATATTTTAATCTTTTAGCCTTAGTTTTTAACCAGAGTACAGGTAATAGATTCCCCTCTCCAAGTTCTCCACTGCCTTAACCGGATATTACACTCTGGGTTCTGTCACTGGATCTAACTAACGCCTTTATCCACTGTGCCATGTGTCGTGAGCGAGATAAAGTGCTCAGTTCGACATTCCAACCAACTGAAGAAGGCCAGAGCGTACAACGGCCGAAACGTTGTAATGAATATGGCGACAAAGATGAGGAAAATAGACCGAATAATGTAAATAGTGAAAAAATGATAGCCACCAATTAATTTTAAATTTTCAAGCCGATATTATTTCTTATGTTTCAGAGATTTTACAAGTACATGATCTAATGATGATTCTTAAGTCAGTGTATATAGTCAAGTCTTGCCCAAGACGAAAGTGCCTATTTACTGTCTCCAATCATCAAATTTATTTATTTATATTAAGGTATTGGGTGCACAGGGAAATAATGGTTTGGCGGTATAATGGATTGAGATAATCGGAGAGCCGAGTTCGAATTCTAGTCGAGTTCCTTACCTTCACATACGTGCTAATACCCTAATGACTTCCATTGCCTGAAACTCTGAGTAACGGATTTGGTATTATTATTATTTGTGTATGCCATGATTCCTGCTTTGTGCCTGTAGAGCCGGGTTCAAACTGTGGTCCTTAGGCTCTAAAGGAGAATTGTCATTTAATATATAGCACCTTTCTTAGTATATGGGATGTTCCTAGTAGGGCGATCTTCTGGGCAACTTGTATATGGATGTTACCTGGGACACTGTTAGAAAAATTATCCATTCCTTTTTTTCTCACGAAGCCCAGTGCTCCGATTACTATTGGCACAGTCTCAGTCTTCATACCCCACATCCTGTTAATCTAGATCTTCAGGTCCTTGTATATGAACAATTTCTCGGTAATTTTCATCGAGGTATCTGTGGGCATATTCATTTTTTTGCCAGTTCCGGACATCCTGAGATAATATCATTGACAATTTCATCATATTTTCCGCAGATCTTGAATTTCAGGTTAGTTCCATCCTTGATTATGGAGACAGTGATATGATCTGATTACGAGAATTTAGTCCTGATCTGCAATAATTAGTACTTCTGTCTCAGCTTTCAGCACGGTATTCCTCAGCCACCAATGTTTTTTTTTTCTGTTTATTATTATTATTATTATTATTATTATTATTATTATTATTATTATCTTTGATTTCAGGCGTTTACACATTTCTTTCCGGGTCACGCCCAGGGACCTAAGGTTAGAAATGGCGTCATGACACTTTCCACTGACAAAAAAAAAAAATTACATAGATAAAGACCTTTGTAAAGTGTGGGCTGTACTTGTTAGAACAATTTTTGTATCTCCTTGAGGCATGGACTTCCAGGAATCCCTTCAATTAGTCTACTGCAATCTTTTCCAACCAGTCCTAGGACTCCAACTACAACAGGGATTGTTGATGTTCCCATATGCCACATTTTCGAGATTTCTATTTCAAGGTATTTTGACAGCTTTTAATATCTTCAAAGATACATTGCAGTCAGCAGGGACTGCCATATCAATAAGGAGGCACTATTATTATTATTATAAGGAGGCACTATTATTATTAATATTATTATATAAGGAGGCATTATATTACTATTATAAGGAGGCATTATTATTATTATTATTATTATTAGGCTCTGACGATTTTCACATTGAGTTTATTTTATATTTTAATCTTTTAGCCTTAGTTTTTAATCAGAGGGCCGAGTTCGAATTCCAGTCGATTTCCTGATGCTGATAATGATGACATATACTAAAAGCTTTTCTTGAATTCTTCCATTACATCCTATACTGGATTCCTCTGTTTGTCTCTTTATTTTGGGTTGTTGGTGGTGGGAGTTATTTGTTTCTTTGTTTTTATTCACGAAAGTCTGTTTTAAACCGAGAAAAAATGTTGCAAATAACTTGATATATCGCGGTCTATTGTTGGCCATCTCTCTTTCCTTTTCGACAACTCGCAGCCATGAAACATCAAAGCTGATGCAAAAGCCAATAGAAATCATCTTGAGTGCTTAGAAGAGTTTTCAGAACTTCTACTTCTTTTAATGCTTCCTTCTATGACTCTCTATGTTTGGTGCTCAAGGTAAAATGCAACAATTCTTTGGCCACAAACCCTCCAATCCACTTTTACACCAATGTACTCCGCTTCCTTCTTTCAATGTGTTTGACATTCACTTTTATGGTTTTACGTGGCGGTTTTACTCCTTCGATTTCTTTTGGTTCTGTGTGGGCGTTTAATTATTGATTTCCTGGCATCTTTTTGTTTTTATTATTATTATTATTATTATTATTATTATTATTATTATTATCTTTTGATTTTTTTACTCACGTTTTATTCAGTTTCCGTTTTTTTCTTCTTTGCTTTGTGTTTGAAATATTGTTTTCACCTCTGATAAAGAATAATACCCCAAAAAAGAAAAGGAATGAGGAAGAGTTTTTATTCGATTTTTTTCTCCATTTCTTTCTTTTTTCTGAAAAACTGTTGTTACCTAGAAAAGGTCACTGAATGAGAAAATAACGAAAACGGAAGATGGAAATGAAATGGTAATCTTTATAACACCAACAAAATACAATACTCGCCAGCAGCATGAAGTAGGTAAACCACTACTAGTAGTGGACTACTTAGACAGCATATTACCCCCCCACTTACAATGGTGACCAACGTATTTATGGGAATTGGGACATACCCATTAGTGTTCATAGGTACAGTATATAAAGGATAGATAGATAGATAGATAGATAGATAGATAGATAGATATTGAAAAGAGATTCATAGATAGTGTTGTAACCTAGAAAAGGTTACTGAATGAGGAATAACCAAAAACGGAGGTTGGAAATGAAATGGTAATCTTTATAACATCAACAAAATACAATACTCGCCAGCGGCGTGAAGTAGGTAAACCACTGCTAGTGATGGACTACTTACACAGCATATTTACCTGCCTCCCCACGAGGTAGGATGCGACACAAGGCCAAATTTAATGTGGTGAAATCCGAGCCCGTGGGCTAGGGCCAAAATTTCCCGTAGACCCCGCATACGCGGGATCGGGTATCTGTTTACCTCCCCGGACGAGTCTCTGCCCTTCGGCATAGCTTCGTTCGGGTTCCTCTCTACCCAAAGACAGAGAGTTCGACACGGCAAGAGATTCTCCCGCTGCCAGCTTAGGCAGCATATTGCTCCCACTTACATTATTGTTCAACGTATTTATAAAGATTGTGACACATCCATTTGTGTTCATCGGTACGATATATAAAAGAAATAAAGAAATAAAAAAAGAATAATACCTAGAAGGGGTTACTGAATGAGGAATAATCAAAACAGAGGTTGGAAATGAAATGGTAATCTTTAATCAAGAAAATACAATACTCGCCATCGGCGTGAAGTAGGTGAACCACTTCTAGTGGTGAACTACTTAAACATCATATTGTTACGGTTTTTTGGGTATATACCATATATAACTAGTGAGCGAGTCAGAATGACTTATTTCCCCTTATAGTCGACCAATGGAAGGTTGACCAATCAGAAGCCGCCGTGTATAAAGGCGGCCATCTTGTTTCGTCTACCGGAAGGACCAAAGGCGAATAGAGAAGGATGAACTACACTCTGTTGTGATATCCACTGCGAACCTGCACTACGCTTTCCTACTGTCTCCAAAATATTCACTGCCAACCTCTGGATTCTATACTCGAGGACGACCGTCATGAAAATGTCTAACATAGGTTATGAGCTCAGATCACGATTATATTTTG